CCCTCAGACCCCTCAGCCACCATCCCTTCCCACGGTGACGAAACGCACACTCAGGCTTCTCCGTTCTCTGCCTTAACTGTTTCATCACCTTGTTTAGTAAACACAGTCTGTCCCGCGGTGAGGCTGAGCAGCCGGATGGCTGCGCTGGGGCATGGCACAGCCCTGGGGCTGCCCTGTGGTGGGGCAGCCAGCGGTGAGGGACATTGCCCTGCTGGCCCCAAGGCCATGGTGGCAGTGGGGACAGCAGGGGGTCGTGGAGGACATAGGGCCAGCTGGGCACTCGGGACCCTGCTGCTGTGTTGCCACACTGGCCGGCGCTGAGCTTGGCTGGCCAAGGGCGCCAGACCCGCGGGGACCTGGGTGGGCACTGGGGCTGCGTGGGCAGAGCTGGCAGGAGGGCCCCTGCCCAGAGTGCCAGTGCCTGCAGCCCACCAGTCTGGAATAGATGCCAGAGCTCAGACCCTCACCGGGACGCAGTGACTGTCCCCATGTCCCCCACCACAGCTGCCTCACGCTGGTGGGGCAGAGCGTTCCCAGCATAGGAGGTCCTTATGTCTCATCACCCATGGGTGTCTCTCAGCCTGCTTGCTGGTAGCCACCCAGCAGAGCCCTACGGGATGGGGGGCAGCGCTTGCCCAGGAGCAGCTCCATGCCCAGGGACACTTCAGTGGGACGCACAGGACATGGGGGTGCCCCATCCTCGCTGCTGGCTGCTCCATAGGGTGCTGCTGACTCGGTTTCCCACCCGGCGCAGCACAAACCTCAGCATGGGATGGTGTTTTCCTGCTTCTCCCAAAGTGCCGACGCTTGTGGGAACGGGAGTGGTGAAGAGGAAAGCAAACAGGGACAAGGAGTGTGAGCAAAACAGATGGCAGAGTGGAGAGAAAGGTGCAGCGTCAGCTGGGGGAGGTGGGAGGGCGAGTGCAGCCCAGCGCCACTGCCCAAGACACAGGTCCCAGGATGGGTCCCCCTTTCCCAGCTCTTACTAAGCCCGGGCTGTGCCCCTGCAGCAACCCCTGGCTCTGCATCACCCCGGCTCTGGCTGAGTTATGCTGGACTCCAGCAAGGCTGGGGGACGGTGAGAGGAGAGGGGCCACACTCCTCTGTGCCCTTGCAGAGGAGCCCCGATGCTCAAGGAAGGACTCATCCTTGGGGAAGCATCATCCATGCGGGGCAAATGGGCTCACTGAGGGGGCTCACTCTGGGTGCGGGCTCTGCGCCAGACTCCCTCCCCACCCAGCTGGGTTCCTGTGGCCCTGCTCCCAGCCCAGCTGCACACAGGGGAGCTGTCAAGCAGCAGGCACTCGGTTCCGGCGGGATGCGGCACCAGGGCCATGGTCAGCCGGGTGAGGGGAGCTCACAGGCAGCACAAGCCCCACCAGGAGGAAGCAGCGCTGAGAAATCATGGGGTTGCCTCACTCCCCGCCGCAGCCCTGCAAGAACAGCCCCAGTTCCCAGGCAGAGGAAGTTGCTCCACGAGCAGCCGGCATCCTGAGCCCC